TGAGGCTGGTGTGACACTGGTGGACGTCGCGGAGGAAGAGGTGGAAGACGTGGGCTTGGACCAGGACCTCTCGGCGTGTCTCCCAACTCTCCAGCAGCTTCCCCCACCCGGCGTCCAGCTTCTCCAACCACTCCTGCAACGAGAGGTACGGCCCCTCGGTCTCCTCCAGCGCCAGGAGGTCACTGGCCGCTTGGATCTTGGCGTAGTCTTCCTCATAGCCGTTGATCTCCTCCTTGAGGGCCGCGTGGTGGTTCAACATCTTCTCGGCTTCCGCCAAACTCTCTGGTGTCTCTTGGCAAGCGACGGCCTCTTGGGTCTTCACCAACCAACTCAAGAAGTTGTCCAAGTCTTGGATGAACTTCTGGAGGCGCCCAGCGACACTCAACGAGTCTTCGCAACCTTGGAGAGCTCGGTTGAGACCTTCCCACTCTTGGCTGATCTCCTCGAAGGGCACCAAGATCTCCAGGGCTCTCCCGGGGTGGCAGTTGGCCAACGCTTCGCCTTCCCGTTGAAGTTCCACCAACCGCGGTTCCAAAGCCACCAAAGCTGCCTCCATGGTGGAGAGGCGCCGTTGTAAGGCCAAGACGCCGCCCAGGTCGCCGCCGCCCGATTGGGTGGCCTCGATGGCTTTCCTCTTCTCCCTCACTTGCTCCTTCATCTCGCCGCACTCCAGCAGGTAGTTCTGGATCTTCAGCACGGAGCTGAGTTGACCTTTCTTGCTTTCCACCAGCTCCACCACCCGGTTCCACCTGGGGGGGGGATGAGGTCAGAAGATCAGGATGGAGCCCCACCACCAGGACAGGGTCCACCCTGGGCATCGCCGACGCTTGGGATGGGCTTGGCTCGCCGTACCGGAGAGCTGGAACTCATGGGGATGTCCCACCAGGCTGGGAGAACAAGTTTGGGGGTCTACCAGAAGCCCCACAGCTGGTTCTCCTCACCAAGGTACCCCCCAAGCAGGATGAGACCCAGCCTGGGCATTGTGGAACCCTGGGATGAGCTTGGTCCATTGAAACGGAGACCTGGACCCCATGGGAACGTCTCACCAGGCTGAGAGAACAAGTTTGGGGTCTACCAGCAGCCCCACAGCTGGTTCTCCTCACCAAGGTGCCCCCCAAGCAGGATGAGGTCCAGCCTGGGCATTGTGGACCCCCAAGATGGGCCTGGTCCACTGAACTGGAGACCTGGACCCCATGGGGACGTCCCACCAGGCTGGGAGAACCACAATTTTCAGGTCTACCAGCAGCCCCACAGCTGGTTCTCCTCACCAAGGTGCCCCCCAAGCAGGATGAGGTCCAGCCTGGATGTTCCTGATGCCCAGGATGAGCTTGGTCCATTGAACTGGAGACCTGGACCCCATGGGGACGTCCCACCAGACTGGGAGAACAATTTTTGGGTCTACCAGTAGCGCCACAGCTGGTTTCCCACTCCAGGAGCCCCCCAAGTGGGATGAGGTCCACCTTGGCCACCGCTGACCCCCGGGATGGGCTCAACCCCCGCCCCGATACCTGCTGTTGAGGTGGTCCTGGCAGGAGCGGACCTCCTCCGAGCTGGGGTGGCCGCCGTCCACCAACTGCTGCACCACCTGGTTGACATCCAAGATCCGCCCCATCACGCTGTTCATCTCCTGGTCCAAACTCTCGAACCTGGAGGAGGAGGAAGAAGAAGAGGAGGAGGAGATGTGAAGGTCAAGGGCTCCGCTGGACCGAAGGATGTCCACCCGCCGTCCCCAACCCCACCCACCTATGTTGGACCACCTCAACCTCATCCAGCTCTTCTGGCACCTCCATCTTCTCCAACCACTGCTCCTTCTCGTCCACCCAGACCTCGCAGGCGTGGACCTCGCTGAACATCCGGTAGACGGCCAAGGCGTCCTGCAGCCACTGCTGCCGTAGGACGGCCACACCACCTCCCCGTAGAGCTGCTCCACCTCCCCCACCCGGATCTGAATGTCCACCCCTTGCCGGTGTTCCGGCGCCAGAAGAGCCAACTGCTTCCGAAGGGCCAAAATGGCCGGTCGGTGCTTCTCCACCTCTTCCACCACCGCCCGGTGCTTCCTCAGAAGAGCTTGGGTGGAGTAGTCATCATGGCCGAAGTCATCGCTGGAGACGATGCGGTAGGTGTCCTGCAACCAGGCCACCAAATCGTCCGTCTCGGCGCTGAACTGGAAGAAGTTGAGGGCCTCCTGCAAACGTTGTTGGTGTAACCCCGTCACCTCCTCCAGCTTCTTCCACCGGAGCCGGACCTCCCGCATCTTCTCCTGGATCCCACCGGGGCCGGCTCGTTTCTTGGCCAAGATCTGCTCGCCTTTCTTCACCGTTTGGTGCAGCAGAGCGCGGCGGTTGCCCAACTCGCCCAACATGCTCTTGTGTTTGTTGGTCAACGTCAAGACGCTGCTGAGGTCCCGGCCGCAGGTTTTGGCGGCCAAGATCTTCTCCTTCTCGCGGATCCACCCTTCGGCCTCCTCCATCTCCTGGAAGAAGGCCCAAAGTTGACGGGAGTCTTCCAGTTCTTTGCGTCTCTTGCCGGCCAACTCTCCCAGTTCCTCCAGGCACGTCTGGACGTGGTTGACCCGGTTGCAGATGATCTGGGGGTCACAGGGTTGGTAGCCTGGACCAAGAAGAGAAGATGGTGGTGGAGATGGTCCACAGCACCTCCAAGAACTTGGTCCTCCAGGATCTCCAGGTCCTCAGTGGTGGCCCCCACCCGTTACCTTCCAGCTCGGAGAACTTGAGAGCGGCGGCGTTGAGCGCCCGGACCCGCTCGGTCTGGGCGGAGATGTCGGCCTCCAGCAAGCCGTGCTTCTGCAGAAGGTCCTCCACCTCCAGAAGGTGCTTCCCCAAATCTTTGGAGACCAGCAGGACCTGAGGGGAAGGGACACGGAGCCATGAAGTCCCGAGATTCCCCACCACGTCCTCCATGGGGATGGCCCGTGGCCACCGCGGCCATCCCACCCACCACGCTCCACCTGCATCTCCTCCATCCAGTCGATCATGTAGACCATCTCCTGGAAGATCTTCTGGAGGGCCAAGTTCTGCTCGAGGCGGGGGCGGCGGGGCCGGGACCGGTCGGGGCAAAGGAAAAAAAACGGAGGATGTTGTCCTTCTGGGCGCCGATGCGTTTGGTGTCGTAGTAGCCCTCGGATTCCATCTCCAGGGCCAACTCCACCACCACCTGGATGCGGTCTTGGTAGGAGGAGATGTCGGCCTCGATGGCCTCGTGCTTCTTCATGGCCGCCTCCACGGCTGGGAGGTCGTAACCGAAGTTGTCCTGAGGGTGGGAGGAGACCACGTTGGGTGGGAGGAGACCACGTCAGGTTGGGGAGACCCCTCCTGGCTCAACGACGGTGTCCAAGAAGTCCCACCACTCAAGCGTTGGGTTCCTCACCCCACCACCCCAGCCGAGGAGGTGACTTGGGTGTCCCACCTCAGGGTGGGGGAGGTCCCCATGGACCACCCCACCCCACTCCACCTGTGAGACCAGGCGTTGGTTCTCGTTCAACCACGTCTCCCTCATGCCAGCCTTGTGGTCGAAACGTTGGGCCAGAAGCTCCAGCTTCTCCTGCCGGATCAACTCGTTGCGCAACGCCGCCTCCCGCTCGTGCTCCGCCTTCTCCAAGCAGGTCCAAGCCTACGGGGTGGAACACCAGGGTTCAACGAAGAGGTCCCTGAGAAGAAGACCTTCGAAGAAGGTCTTAGGAGTCCTCCGAGAAGAAGACCTCCCCCTCTGGTCCCACCTTGTTGATGTCAGAGATGCTCTTGCCCTCGCTGGGGACGTAGAGCTTGCGGTTGTTGGCCCGGAGTTTGCTCTGGATGGTGAAGAGGAGGACCTCCAGGTTCCCCTTCTCCTGGAACCTACGGGGTGACAGCACCGGGTCAGAGTGTGTCCCACCCCACCACGCCGTGGTGGTCCTCCACGCCGGGAGGTCCTCACTTGACGGGTTTCTCCAAGGTGCAGAAGGCGGTGAAGGCCTGGAGCTGCTGTTGGACGCCGATGAGGGAGTTGGCGAACTTCTGGTTGGTGATGACGGCGACGGTGTGGTGGATCCAGGCCAGCAGCTCGGCCGCCAGGGCCTCGTACCGCTCCACAATGGCCTCGATCTCCATGGCTTGGTCCAGAACCTGGTGGGGAGAAGGGTGAGGTCACCTGGACGGCTCAGGGGTGCGTCCTGCAGAACCTCCACCCGGAGCGACCAGCGAGTGGTTGGAGGAGACAGCGGGTGGTCCCGGCGCCTCCAGGGATCGGCGCGGCGCCGGGGTGCAGTGCAGGGAGGGGTGGGATGTCCTGGGGAGCCGGGGGTGGGACGTTCCATGGAGCAAAGGATGAGGAACCTCATGGAGCAAAGGATGGAGCAGCCCATGGAGCCAGGGATGGGACATCCCGTAGACCGAAGGATGAGGAACCTCATGGAGCAAAGGATGAGGAACCTCATGGAGCCAGGAATGGGACATCCCATAGACCAAAGGATGAGGAACCTCATGGACCACAGGATGAGGAACCTCATGGAACAAAGGATGAGGAACCTCATGGAGCCAGGAATGGGACATCCCATAGACCAAAGGATGAGGAAACTCATGGACCACAGGATGAGGAACCTCAAGGAGCAAAGGATGGGACATCCCATGGAGCCAAGAATGGGACATTCTGTGGAGCCAGGAACGAGGAACCTCATGGAGCAAGGGATGGAGCACCTCATGGAGCAAAGGATGGGGAATCCTTTGCTCCATGAGGAGCTCTATGGGAATCCCATAGAGCAAAAGACGGGACATTCCATGGTGCCAAGGATGAGGAACCCCATGGAGCAAAGGACGAGGAACCCATGGAGTCAGGAATGGAACATCCCATAGACCAAAGGATGAGGAACCCCATGGACCACAGGATGAGGAACCTCATGGAGCCAAGGGTGGGGCACCCAATGGAGCCAAAGATGAGGAACCTCATGGAGCCAGGAACGGGACACCCCGTGGAGCAGAGCACGGGAACACCCCACAGAACCCACCTTCCCGATGCGCTTCCCCTCCACGGCCAGCGCCTTCATCTTGGAGAAGTAGTGGTAGAAGGACACCACGTAGGTGATGATGGACTTCTCGTCGGGGTCCTCCATGTTGACATCTGGTGGGGGGTGAAGAATCGGTCCCTCCCCAAAGCCCCGCCACCACCACCACCACCATGACCACCACCACCACCATTACCACCACCACCGCCAGCACGAGCACCATCACCACCACCACCACCACCACCACCATCATGACCACCACCACCAGCACTCCCCCATGCCCCCCATGACCCCCACCATGACTACCACCACCATGACCACCAGCCCTGGTCCACCAAAGCCAACCCCGGGGCTGCTCCCCTCAACCTTCAGCCTTCAACCCTCAACCTTCAACCTTCAACCTTCAACCCCCTCCCAAATGACCCTTCCAGGTGGAAAACGAAGCCAGGACCAAGCAGCTGGATGGATGGAGATGCCCCACCCCGGATGGACGGATGGAAAGATGGATGGATGGACGGATGGGTGGACCTCCCCCATCCCGGCCAATCCCTACCCTCGGGA